CTCTCTGTTCTTTGGTTTTGAACCTTCTTCCTATTCTTGTGGCTTTTTCCTTTCCAAATTGCCTCCTCATTTAGCATCTGACAATGGCACTTTTGGACTGCTGCCCACTTAACTATGCTTCCTGGTATATTACACCTGGATTTTCATGTGGTGGATCTGCAGTTCAAACACACAAAGAAGAACCATTATGTTTGAGCTGTTGTACACAAATGCCACTATGTATTTATCTAAAACTGCACTGGACTTTGCTGCTGACTTATCAGAGTACACGTGGGAGAAATATGTGTCTCTCTTGCTGCCATCCATTACCACGATGACTTACTTCATCACTCATTTGTCTAGATTTTTTTCTTCCCATTTACTGTAACTGTCTTTTAGTTGGATACATTTGCCTGAGTTTTTGGAGAATGTGTCTTGTTTTTGTTTTCCACTATTAACTGAAATCTCTCCAGGACCCTTACTGTTATTCTTACATTCATCGTATTTGCAATTTCTCTCAGTCTTACATATCTGTCTTTTTCTCCTTCTGCTCTTTTCCAAACATCTAAATCTCTTATTTGCTCTGATATATAACTGGCTTAATAAGTACTTTCAAAAAGCAATGCAGTCAGGAAAAACACCAGAGCTGGCAGCCAGAGGAGCTCGGAAGGTTACCCAGTGTGGTGATACGGGAGATGCGAGGCTGGAATTCCATCTAAGTGAAGCTGAAGAGGAAAATCCAATTGAGGGACAACTGAGGAAAGCTCTGCTTGCAGTTCAGGAAAGGCTACAAAGACTTGGAATTGAGCTTCTTGTAAAGAGTACATTTCTAGCATCCATTAATCCAAAAAGGTGAAGAGACATTGTTTTGTGTAGAATGTGTAGAGAAAAAGAACTAATTCAGGATATCCTCAAAAGCACTCACCAAGTTACAAGTAAACTATTCAGGAGACAGGCACACTATGTCTGCAATTCCATTTCTGACTCTTTGTAAGAAGAAGCTAAAATCACAGTTGGCAACAGTTCTGAAATGCAACAGTAATCCATAAATACTCCTTAATTTTCATGTCATTGCAGAATTAAGCTACTTCCAGCTCACACAGATCTTACCAGGTGTGCTAAATTGATGTCATTATAAGCCATCAGGAAATACCCACAGAGACCTGTAGCAACATTCAGAAGTTTTGTTAAACAGCTGTGTGTTATAATTGATTTGTATTATTTAAAACAGCTAAAGCAAGTTATCACCGGATGTAGAAAAGGGATGACTGAAGACTCCAGGGAGATTTAACTCAGAAGAAAGCCAATCATAGGAACTTCATTTGAGCATTTTAAGGTTATTACTAGAGGAAGTGCAATTAAATCATCACCATTTATCAATTATCATTATAAAATACTATCATATTAATTTATTTATAAGAAGTTAACTAGTTGACTTCTGCTTTTTGCAAGAAAAATAATCTAGTCAGTAAAAATATGTGAAGATGCATTCTCTGAAAATAAGCGAGACTTTCCACAATAATCAAAAGTAACTAAAAAAGTTCAAATTTTACCTAAAATTTTTTTTTGGCAATGTAACTGCCCAAAAGCTAAATGCTTTGGAGCTTAGGCAATGTCTCAGTTCCCGATCTCAGATATAGTTTACCATAGACAGTATAAGCCAAAATACAGTTGTAGCAAAAATGTGCACAGGCATGGCACCTACATTTCATAAAATACATGGAATATAAGTGTACATATATATATGTGTGTATATATATATGTTTATGTATATTTAATATATGTGTATATATATATAAGGAATATTAGTTTAAGATCCTGGATTTGGGAGGAAAAAAAAGGCAGTAGGGCTTTCTTTTCTAATCTGCTAACTATTAAATCAAAGTATAAAAATCAGCCTCAGTTAAAAGTTAAGTAACATTATGCATGGACAGTGGTAAGCTCAATTTTCCTTCTCAATAGTGGGCTGCTTGTAGAATTTAAAATTTCTATCTGTTTTGGAGCAAAATCCTAAACGTTTTCTCTCTGCTGTTCACGTGTACTGAGAGTTCAAGCCTGATTTGGTGAGTTTGCCCAGTGACTTGCATTATACGATCTGTGTCCCTGCAGGCAAAGCCTAACCCAAATAACAAAATGGGTCAGCAGAAAAGCAGAAAGGGAAGAGAAAACTGTATTTTAGTTCAGAACCTTGATTCATTTGAGGGAGAAAAAATACTCTTTTTCTTGTAGACCTAACTCTTGTTTTGATCTGAGCCTTGCAGGCTAGTGCTTACAGTATGCTTTTATCATCTTTCCTAATTCCTTTGTGAATACTCTGATTTTTACTGCTGTTTTATATTTGGACTGGCATATGCATCTCTCAGTTTACAAGGGGAAGCGTTTGTTGCACCAGCAGTTGCTGTCACCGAAAATACGATAGTGTTCACATTGCTAATTGTACTGGTGCTTTTCTCTGCCCTGACTCACCTCCAGAAATGTACACTTCCACAGACCATGCTTTCCTTTGTCTTCTCATCACTTGACTGAATGACTATAAGCAAATGCACCCTCACTGCCCGGTGCCTTTCTACTTTCTTCAAAAATTAAAACTGCAGACCTCTTAAAGCTGCTTTCCCGGAGGCTCTCTCTTGCAGCCATGTGGGAAAGTAAACTTCCAATCCAGGAATGCAGCTGGGGCCTTTGGACCAAGTTCGATATGATGTAAGGCAGGTTAACCTCACTGAAGTCAGTGGAATTCAATGGCCTTGAGCCACAGGTACAGGCTCTTCAGGAAGAAGGTGCATATACGAATGGCATACAAAAAAAAAAAGTGAAGTAATTCCAAACTATGTAGTGGGATTGCTGCAGAATCTTAACTTCTCTGGCTTCTGCTACCTGCCAGCAGTTTCACTATTGTGCTATCAGCCTGACATATAGTCTATATTATTCTAGGGTAAACAGTTTAACTTAGTTTGTATCTCCTTATTTAATGGAAAGTCACCTTAATGTTATGTTTAATACTATTTTGCTGCTATAACTTTGCTGATTTCTCCAAAATGTGTTTCCTTACATCTCAGTTTGTGTTTGTCACTGGACTCACATTGGCTGAACCACTTCTAGAGAGGTGTCACAGCGACAACAGGTTCAGCACTCCACACATTTTACAACCCATAAAAACTGTTTCTGCAAGCCTTTTGTATTGTACGTGTCTCTAGTTATTAGATGCAGGACAGTTTTACTTTACTGTTCCTTAAGAGGTGAAAATAATCTCTGGGTGACAGTGATCTGGTTTTCCTTTTGGCTTCCCCCACTTTGATTTTACAGATTCCAAACATATTGTTGATGCTTTAATCTCAGTAGTACTGCATTTTGATTTATTACCTATACAGAGCTGTAGGTTCTTGCAGTGCCTTGCAGATGAATAGAAAGAGAATGCTTTCTACAGAGGAGCTTGAACATTGCTTCAGGCCACAGTATCATATGAGCATAGAGAAGGGCACACCACATCTGGAAGTGTACATAGCAGATTCTCCTGCACATTTTTGCAGGTGGGAATATAAACTATCCACAAGCCAGAACAGCTCAGCTGGGAAATACCAGAGATGTCAGCCCTAAAGGATACCTAGCATCCAACTGTGGGGTTACTGGTGTGTCTACTAGCAATGCAAGAAGGTCGATGCAGTGAAGGCAAAGTTAATTCAATCGTCTGCCTCTCTACGCAGAAACAATCATGATTCAGCTACAGATCTAAAACTTCACCTACAAATCACAAAACTTCACTGGAAAATCTGAACTGCAATACTTTCTTGTGCAGAAATCAGTTGTCTGCTACCATATTACATTCTTTTATTAAAACCTAATTTTCTGGTCCTCACTCTGCAGTAGACAGGTAACTAACACTTTATTCAAAAGCATGTATTACGAGAATTTGCAAACTCATAACTGGAATTCAGACATGCACAGCAAACATCAGAAAACCAATACTTGCTAGCTTCTCAGGGAGCTATTATAATATAAATAATAGTCCGTGGCTGCAAAAACATGAACACTGCTTCTGTTCCCATGATTGAATACCATCTACAAATAGGAATCCTGTAATTAAGTTATATTAGTTGAATTGTGAAACACCTGTGGAACTCAGCTGAGGTTACATCTCTGTTGTGCCAGCTGCTGCGGTAAGAGACCTAGGTACCTGCAAATGGCTAAAATCAAGAAGTCAGGGAAGGAAAGGGGAGGAAGAAAGGACACAGGGGTATCTTTGTCTGATGATACAATCTCACACCTGGAGAGTCTCTATTCTTTGTCCAAACCTGCACCGGAGGCCCGGAGCTGAGAGAAGAAATCAGATCAACCAACTCCCTCTGAACCATATCTCTTACTCTTCCTTGAACAAGTCTGACTGTTTTCAAGACAGCCATCATTGCGAGTCTGGGAACGGTTGCTGAAATGATCTGGTGACTTTGAAACCAATTTATAAATAAAAGTGATGTGAACAGCTCTAAAAGAAGGCAGTGATATCGCAGTTTACTAATCTGCTTCCTCTTGTAAAACATGGCATTCACTAACTACTGGTTCTTAAGCACATCAGTTGGCAATAACTTATTATTTGATTGAGAGACCAATTTTCTCTCCTTCAATCCTAAGGACTGCAAGTCTATTTAAAATTGAAAATTGCACAGTCTTTTTTGGTAATTTGATTAATAGACAATCTGTCAAATGTTACACTAGTATATTTTACTTACATAAACACGTCTACTCTTGTATTTACCCAAAACTATGAGTACTCAGAAATTGCCTGAGGTTTTCAGGATTGGCTTTAGAAAAGTATTTTAAACGAGAGATACTGTCACATTAAGTCTTACATGGCAAATACCTATATATCCTTCAAAATCCAGGGCTAAAATTACTGTTGGTAACTGGCTCAGCACAATCTCAGTTAGACTTTTATATATTTTACTGGTGTCCAGGAGGGTAATAAGGCCATTGAGGATTCAGACATATATTGCATTCATCAGTTTTGTAAAGCACCAGTGGTTTCTCACCTGCTGTGTAATAGTGTCCCAGGGCCCCTCGAGCAGACGAGCCTGGTAGCATGCATGAACACTTTTCCATATTTCATCCAGAGTTAAAGGTCTTCCATCTGTGAGGGGGAGAACAACCATCCACAGTCAAAGCTCTTAAGCATGCTATATCTTTAATAAAGAATAGCGAAAGTACATCTGACAATACTGATTATCTGGAAGCAGATGGAAAAAATAACAGCAAAACGTGACTGAGCCACTTCTGGCCCCATAACTCCAAAAGAGGGTTGCTCAAATCCTGACTGAAAGTGCATATAAAACGGTCTTAAATTTCTTGTTCAGCTTTCTTCTCTGTCACCTGAGAGTAACAACTTACTGTTCTAGTTGTAAGGTGTGAAGTTAAACTAATTTTGTAAAACAATGCCTGGCTAAGATAAATGTAAAACCACAAAATAATATAATAAACAGGTATCTCACAGAAATATACGCAATTCATAGTGAGAGAGTGGAAAAAATCTAAGGAATGAAACTGTAGACAAAAGTTTATTGCATTTTGGTAACCCACATGCCCATAATTTTTTCTTGAGCTGCATTTATATAGCATTGTTGCATCAGGTTTTTACTTGTAATGTTAGAGTTATGCCAAGATATTAGTGTCAACCACCTAGCAAATAAGCATGTCAGTTTTTCCTGAATATTTGGGTTTGGCAAACAGCAGTAGAATATTTTGATATACTTTCAATAAGTAGCTTCGTGTCGGCATTTATTAGGTGTCAGAAACCATTATCCTGTGATAAATAGTTTTATTCTACTGACATTTTCATGTCTGTTAAATGAACGAGATTTATTCACCCAATTAACATTTGAATGCCATGTTTAGATATAAGTTAAAACCAGCTGCCTGTGCAGCCTCTGTTTTATCTTTTTGTCTGCATATATTCATAAAAAAAGCACCAAGTTCTGAACTTACATAAGTGCCATATAGCAGAAGCAGGTGGCAAACAAAGTATCTGAGGAGGTAACAGAACGTTAACTAGCTCTACTGTGCCATCCTCACAAACATGAAACTTTTTAGACCTTCATGACCCCTGTCTTGTTATGGCAGATATCACAGCTGTGCTGGAGATGGTCTAACATTTACTAAGAAATTTGTTACAAGAGCATAAGTTAACTGTAGAAGGATGTATTTATGCTCAGATCATCTGTATGCAGGTAATACGAGATGCTATGCATACTTGCAATTTTCTGTTTTCTATTCAACTGCAAAGACAATTCAGAGAAAATCCAAATGTAAAATCTAGAACAACGCACATTCTAATGCAAAATTCTATTTGTCACTCTAGATTTTGTTCTGTACGCCTTTCTTTGTATCTGTGAATTCTTATAGTAACACAAGCAAATTCAGATTGTACACATGGAATGGATTACTCTAACTGTTAATCTCATTTACAGAAACGATCAAATATGCCTGAAGTATTAATTATATTATAGTTAAAATAGAGTTTTGTCTTTACCTCATGCATTTTATTAGTTCATGTATGAGAAGCAGTATATCTTCCATCATATTCCAGTATAGATTTATTTTCATTTCAGAGAAAAATACAAATACATACAAACTGAAAGTTTCACTTCCCATTGGAGTGAGATCACAGACAGCAAAATACTTCAATAGTTAATATAGAGTAATTGCAATGCTTCACATAGGAACAAAAATTGATCTGGGCATTCTGATTATGCACTTATATATTGAAATATGCTTGGATTTAGATTTCCCTAAACTTTGAATTTTCTGCACTATTTTAATATATTTCACTAAGCTTTAAATGAGTCTGAAGTAAGTGTGTTTTTTACACTGAGTAAGCTTTTGTAGATGCTCCCAAGTATTGTGTTCCTGTAAATTCTTATTTAACTGACTAGCTCAGTTTTCTAGAAGATGGGAGGCCAGATGCAGCAGGAAAGTATAAGTTAGCAACACTGAAAATGGACGTGAGGTCCTACATAGCTGAGAACTGCAAGATCCTTGCAAAAGGAGAGGGGTGGATGGGCAGCTTCCCCATCCTCTTTTGTGGAAGACCTGAAAAGTCCACTGAAAGAGTTGTCTCTCTCAATACAATAAAATAAAATAAATCAATAAAGAAAAGCCTAACTACACTAAGATCTTAAAATTACTGATAGAAGAACCTATTTCACGCAATCTGGCTGGAGGTGTGTCGTATATTTTAAAACTCCTCAGTTTGTGTGGTCATCTGCTTAGCATGATATAACTGAATCCGTTCTATTCGCAAGCTCTCAGATTTGCCAATAACACATCTCTGTATTCTTCGAGCACTTTCAGGCTTTTTCCAGGGCTGCCAGCGTTCCCATGTTTAGCAGCCCTGTTACACATTCTTGTGACCCACTGAGACCTCGAATATCCAGCTGGGCTGACAGAGCAGTCTGTAATTGTTGCTGCTAGCAACAAGGGGCCACTGTGGCACCTGCTGAGCCAAGCAGCCTCTCTGCTTCTTGTCTCATTCTTTCTTGTGAGGGAGCTGAACTCAAACCATTCAGCCAGAAAAAGAAGGCAACAGCAGCACCAAGCCAAGAGAAGTGGCAGAAGAGGGAGGCAGAGGCTTGAGATTCACCTAGCAGTACATTTACTCATCGTCCACCCACGATGACACAGCTGCTGAGGTGCTTGCAGCTTGTCCCAAGTCTTATCCCAAGTATAGCTGGGAGCTGGTCTGCAGACAGGAGTGGAAGTTTGTGGTTACATGCATGTTTTGTATAACTCATCTCACTAAATAATTGCAGAGAATGAAAGGAAACAGCTGCTTGTGGGTCATGCCAGATTTACTGCACCTTTGTCTTAAGCTCCGTGCCTGTAATGCCACCAGTCTGGCACATGACACATCGTCAGCTCACCAGTACTAACCTGGGTTCTGCGAAATACAAACTCTCATACAATTCACCTTACATCTACCCAGCAAGAAAGGCCTAAAGAGCCTTGTGGGGAGAAGGGAGATGCAGGATGGGAGTCAAGAGCTCCTAAGTATGTGTTCTGTCTCTGCCATTAACTAACTAGGGGTTCAAATCAACCAGTTAGTCTGCCTTAACAGTCAGGCAAGAGCAATGATAGCCTTTCCATCACAAACTCAGATTTTTATTATTTAAACTGTCTAGACTATAACAAACTTTTCTGAAAAAAGCTTCTCAATGGTCCACTTGGGGTTAACTCATTTATGTCGCCACAAATAAGAAATAGTTAAAAAGCAGGCGGTTGAGTGCCCCCTCAGAGCAGAAGGTGTGGCATTAAGATGACATACGAGTTGTGGCTCCCAGCTGGCTTGGCACCTTCATTTCTGGAAAGAGCAGAAATTCTTTAGGCATACAAATTTCATGTACATTTTCAGGGAAAAATTTCAGGCTTCCTGAGTTGCTGTATTCTGTTTTCTTGATGTTTACCGAGGGCTTTTAATAATTTCTCAGATTTCTAATTAAAGGTTATTTGACACTTTTGGTGAAATAGGGCACAAACTGTTTTGAGGCTTTGTTCTGGCACACTTTCCAAAGAAATATTAGGTTTTGTACTCTTAAGAAACTATTGCCACAAAAGAAAAAACACCCTTACAGCTTAGAAGAATATCTGATTACGCAAATTATTCAATTTTGTTTATGTCCAAAGCCATGATAAAACCAGTTCATATGGGACATGGTCTTAAGAGAAGCTATTTTTCTGAGAAAGGACATAGTAGTTCCACGCTTCTGAGTTCAGGGAGTAAGTCCATATTCCGGAAAGTGCATCAGTCAGGCCCAGTACAGTTATAAATACAGAAAGTCAGGCCTTCAGGGTTGGAGGAAGTTACATTATCTTACAAGCTCCCTCTCTCTAACCACTGATTAGCAAGTTTTTTATTGGCAGAGATCTATCCATATGTCAGACAGCTAGATGTATTTTGAGCAGGTCACCTTGAAAACCCCATTTCTTCTCTCTTTTCTAGGGGCGTTAGGCTGCAGTCCTTACTGACTCCCATTAGTCCTGATCCTTTTTTTCAGTGCTTAGCCAGCATTCACGATTCTTCCTGTACCTTTGTAGGAAAAGAAGTGTGAGACGAGCCATTATGTTCTTGACATGAAGGGCGATTCCTGAATGATACCTGTGTCCACCTGTGATTATGTTGCTGCTACCTCACTGTCAGTGCAAGAGGTTTTTGAATGTACGGCTTCAGATGATGACAGCTCAGGAAAAGACCGAAGTTCCTCGACATCTTAAAGACTCAGAAAAGGGGAAGATACTCTGCTGATTAAAGATAGCTTACTGGACCTAGCCCAGCCCATCTGGCTGATGCCAGCATTGAAGAGGAAGGCTAATTGCCTATACCATCTGTCTTTAAGAGGGCTAATCGCTGACATCAGATATCAGCAGGGGTTCTTGCATTTCTTCAACTACCTATTTGGTAATCTCAGAAGCCAGAGAAAGAAAGAAGGGCTCCCATTTCTGAAAGGTATGGCATGCATAACACTAGATTTTAAAGAAATGACATGTAGTTCTCTGAGACTCTGAGGTATTGAGGACCACTGCCTTGAGCTCCGGACATAGACTGGGATTTCAGTAGGTCTGAATTCAGGAATATAAGCCACATGAGAAGTATCATGGTGTGGCGAAAAAAATGTTTCTTATGTATATATATGTAGCCTGAAAATATCTTCTTGTATCCTATAATGTTCTCAAACATCTTTCCAGTCATCATGCTTAATGATTATTTTCAGTTGAAGTATTTACCCGTGCACAAAACAAGATCTTCCCTGTAAACCCATCCCCAAAGACTACCAAAAAGTTTAGATGTCTCTTAAAATGCTGTAGTTCTGTTGCAATTAAAATTTCAAACCCTTATCTTGCACTACCTTACACATCAAACATCATCTCGCCAAAAAAAAAAGGCTAAAGATGAATTCCAGAAAATAAGTTATTTCATCCGATCTAGACAGCAGCAAGGATAAGGATACAATGCACCCCTTCTGCAAGAAGAACTGATCTGTAATGTTTGAGCACAATTGCCAGCAGAGAGGAGTGGAAACTGCATGTCCTCACTGATGCAAGCTCCTGAAGATGCCATCCATGCAGAAGATGACAGGAAAATCTTCCCAGCAACTCTACTGGAAGCCTTTTTCCTAGGAGGGACTGTGAAAGACCAAGTCAGTGAAAACTGGACTCACACAAGATGGGAAAAAGGCAGGGTTTAATTGTTGAAGAAAAGTATTTAAAGAGTCTATTTGGAAGAGTGCAGATTTGGACAGGCTGGCACCAGTTGCTACTATAACACACAAAATGAGGAAATTAATATTGCAAAACAAGCAAAACCACTTAGTCAGGTTGAACAGAAGAATTATTATTTCCTAGGCAGGCCTCGAGGTGTAATGGCCACTTAATATACTGCCAGAGAGGAAGCACAGTTTTGAATTCAAACTCTTTGCCCTGCTGCTGGGGAAGGCAAGACGGGGCAAAGCTGTGGCAAGACTGAAGGATTATAGCTCACCTTCACCTACTGCAACAAGCTCTTATTATTAACATGAAGATCAGTATGGACAGGATTGAAGGGAAACCATGAACAGCTCACAAGACTTGCAAGGAACAGATTCTGTTACTTAATCTGCAAATAATGGTAGGAATTTAGACTGGGAAATTAATGTAGGTCTCAAAAGATTCTTCCCCGATTATTTCAGATGAGGAATGCAGTGAATATTACTAGATGTCTGAGAAAAGAGGTGAGGAGCTTATCACATAAAGACTATTACCTCAAAGGGAAAAAATCTCAGGGCATTACCTAGAGTTTGCCTCATACTAGGTTCAGAATAAGACAAAAGATATTTTGCTCAGATATCTCAAGCGATTTTGAGTGACTGTCATCTGCACATTCCTGAAAACCCCATGTTGGCACCTTCAGACAGCATGGCACAGGCAGGCAAATAACTTGCAGGGATGACAGAATTTTTCATTTTCAAAAGTAAGCTATCCATGATTAAAATCAGGAGAATACTAGCTGAAAACATTACACGGAAAGCACTTACTGCTAGCATTTTGTATCCTTCTCTCTTCAAGAGTCAGAGAATGTTAAATGTTAGCAGAGAATGTTAAATGATGAAGATCACTCAGGTGACTTTAGGAATTATCTAAAAAAAGGCCTTGTTTTCCATTGTGAAAGGTTCCCAAGAAGTGTTTTAAAACACAACTGTACTTGTAGGAACAACTACAGTTTTGTACTGCAAGGGGAGCTGTTGGCACATAATACCACGCTTGTGCATTAGATCATCCACTAGCTTCTGTAATATCCACTTCCAGCTATAAGGAGTCATGTTTCAACACCTCCGATTCCCTGATGCTGACAAGCTAAACAACTTGTTTTGTCTCTGGGAGCTCTTCTCTGGTGATTAACTGCTTATGGTGAATACTAATTATACGAAAGTACAGTACAGTAGAAATAGTGTCCTATTTCCTCTACCTGCAGCATCTCCATCCTCTTCTGCAGAGACAGTCCACTATTAATTCAGCTAAAACCAAGAAGATGACATTTTTCAGGACCACAAATAGGTTAATCTGTCTCTTACAGCAAAACTTTCTTCATCTTCCTGTCTGCACACTAAGTTTAAAGGCAAAACACTGCACATTCGTAAATGCCTGTAATAATTCTAGAAATAAATTTGCAGCAGGATGTGTGCAAATGAGTTCTGTTGGTGGTAAAGGCAGAGCAATGTCCCCAATTCCCCACATCCCAGTTTGAAAATTTACCCCAAATTATCCATTCCTGAAACTGCACCTCAGACTAAAATCTTTCCACCAGGGAGTCTATGAGAATTTGTTCTTCAATTTTAAATCTAAAGTGCCTTTTAAAATGCTAACACTGCAAAATTAGAAACCATTAAACAATATAAGGCAGAGAGTGATTAAATCTACCGAACACATTCAAAGCAGCTTAAGCTACTTTTTAATTAAAAAGGAAAAGATTTCACTGGCAACATTCAGACATCTTTATCTAGATAAAGTTGGGAGATTATTTAAAACACAAAAGATGCTGATGCTACCATGCAGGAGACTGAATGAAATATCTTGAAGATTTCTATCCCTCCGCCCTAAGTACATAGTCTTTGGGCAGAGAGGAACAGAGAACAGCCAGTGCTGCAGTGTGATCACTCTATGTTTGCTGATTAAATAAGTGACACTAACAGCGGCCTTGGAGGGAGGCTGTGTGTTCCTCCTTCCTTCCTGACAGGATGGTGAGTGAAATCACAGTGGCTATAGCAATTGAGTAATGGGTAACAAGATGTACATATCAGGGAGGAAAGAAGGTCAGCTAGTGTTTCAGGAGCCAGTTTTAATAGATGCAAAAAGGCAACACTTTATTGGTCTTTTTTTGGTTTTTTTTTAAGCAGCAAATTTAAATAGAAAACTGCACACACTTTTAAAAGTACATTTAGACTCCAGGCTTGTGGTTCAAATTCAGGTTCCAAAGAAACAGACACAGTTCTGCTGAAGCACTGCAATTACGTCCACTTATTTGGTAGCCAAATTCAAACCTGCAGCTTTAAGTTTTTGTATTCCTTTAATGAAAAGAACAAGAAAAATGACCAGCAGTTTTAGTCAACCACAGGCAAGATGCCAGGAGCCAAAGATCAGCCTCCTTCAGGCTGAGATGATATCATCTGCTCCAAGCTCCTGAAGCTCTATGTCGGGATTATTACAAAATTTACTGGTGAACAGCCTCATCTCTTACTTTCTTATTACATACAGTCATTCCTCAATTTCATACAAAATCTGTGGTTCTAGCATTTATTGCATCCAACCTTTTTATTCTTCCCTTTGTCTAATAGAATATTGGTCTTACCTAAAAAGCATGCCCTAAAATAAAGCACAGGTACTTGGTAGCTGCTGGAGTACAAGACGTGATATTCATAGCGAATCACTTCTTCTGTTGCACAAACTCCAGCTACTTGAGAATCATCCAAAGACTCCTAAAACAACAAACAGGAACACAGTAATACATCAACTTTTGTACTTGTATCAAGGGAAAAGTAATTACTACTATTGTAATAAATTCAGTAAATACACAGAACAGAAATAATGGCAATCACCCCTTTCACAGCACTACTCATTTGAATTCCCAAAGGAATTTTTCAATAACAGCAAGAAAATCACCAAAGTCCAAAACCTTCAAAGGCATCTGACAGACTTACTTCCACAGACTGTGAACTATGTGTAAGCATTTGCAGAATTGGGGTCTTTCTAAGCGCAGGCTGCTTTTGTAAGCAAAAGACAGAAGCTCTCTAAAATCTTTATGGCACAATAACTGGTACAATAAGGTGACTACAGCTGCATCTCTCCTCATTACCTTTATTATAGACCAGTTTAAAAGTGTATCCTTAAATAATCTGGTTTTGCTTGCCAAAAGACAAATCAGATGTATCCATCAAAAATCCTCTGTTCTACTTTCTTTAAAAGCTTTTTGCCAGAGGTTGTTTTTGCTAATAAAAACTTCTAAAACTGAGACAATTTTTTCCTGTTAACTTATATTTCAGGTGTAAAGCACGTAAAGTTTATAGTAGATACGAAAGAAATCAGAAGAGATGGAACTTACTGCATTGAGATACACCCCAGCTGCAGCATAAATTTCCTAACATTTCAAATTAATATTCCAACAGTGCTAAGCACACAGTCGTTTTAACTTTTCTAAGAACCGTCGATACTCAAATCTCAGAAAATGGAACCATTACATCAATAATGCCGTTAAGATTAAATGTTAGGACAAACTTTCGAAGACACAATGGGTGTGGACTTGTTTGGTTTTCAAACCCCCAAATTTACATGCATGAACTAAGCAACCATAATGCCCCACAGGTTGGGTGTGCATTTCACAACTTGACTACTGCCAAGCAACTGTGAATACTGGCTTACTGTCTCTGTCCAAGCAAAATAAAAAAGACTGAACCAGAAAGAAGGACCAGCATCCTTTGAACACAATGCTGGTTTAACACATAAGAAATTTAAAGCAATTTTACTTTTTTATCTCACATCCTTAACTCAGTTATGAATCAATCTATGAAGAGCTGTAAGAACGGATAAACTGTAGCAGAAATGACACAGAAAATACTTTTAATTTTTTTTTGATAGACCACATAAAAGTGATTTCCCTCCCAAATTCAGTGTATTAGACAATCAGATGCTGCTGAGGCACATGGACAGAAGATCACGAATGGAGTGAAGCTGCACTCCAAGGTACTGTAAATACGTTTTTTGACATTAAATGGGAAAATCACAGATGTTCACAGAACACAAGGTTTCTAGGACATTCTGGACAGCTGTAGGAATGGTTGACTTCAGCTTACCAGGAAACAGATCTCTAAAGCACTGACAGGGAATGTTAAAGAAAGTGCTCTCTGTGTTAACCTAGTTTTAAAAACTGTATATGAAGGGATATTAAAGACAACATGCCAGAAGGGACAATGATGACTACTATATCTGACCTCACAGGCCAGGTGAAGTTAGGTATGCTATGTCCAGTTCCCATGTAAATGTGTAACAGACTAACAAGGCAAGTTCTTTTTTGCCTCACTCATCATATCCCCTGATCAGATGTGAAATACAGATTAAAAAAAATCTCTCGAGGAAAATAGAAATTTCTTTTCTACAGTAAGCTGAACTTTCTACAAAACTGATCCATTGTCAATGCTTTAGTGAGAACAGTAAAAGAAAGAACAGCAGCAACATGTGGTAAAAGAAAACAAAAAACAACTATGGATGGGCTTTCACGTTTGTAGGAGGGGGAAAGAGAAATAGAGTCCATATTCAGAACTGAACCTACATTAAAATTTGCAAAAGCCTTCCGGATCAACCTCCTGGAATCAGAATCATACTGCTTTACAGACATTAATGTTTCATCGGATATTATGGCCTTGCCTATTGCATAGTCACTAGCTTACCTTGTCCTAAAAAAAATACTTCCCCTGGCAATGGCCGGACTACTTGTTAATGGCCAGACTACCCATTCATGTATTAAATACTAGTCCTAGAAAAAAGCTGTATGCATACACACACTTCTCTCTCCTGCTTTTTGTATATAAGGGTAAAATGACTGTATACCCTCACATCAATACTGATACCTAATTTGTGACGATTTCAGTCTGAATGATAAAGAAACCATATTCTCTATTGCCTCTAAATACTTAGGAAAAGAAGTAAGTTAATACTCATTCAAAAATGAAGTACTCAAACCCATATACCCTTAGGGAAAACATGCTTTATAAAAACTCCACTTACTATCTCAGAAAATCATAAATTAAGCTAGGAACAACTTCATCATTAAGAGTTCAACTTACTGGGTTAGCATAGATTTCAGCTGGTAAGCAACTTCTATCTTCATTTTCTGGATTAGTCTGAGAGACTTTCCAATTTCATTGTTCCTTGAGAGGTCTTAAGAATTTCTGCCTTTACCAGACAGACATTAGACAGTGAGGTACTTCCCAAAACATTCTATTACTTTCAGAGAAAGGTGATTTTATCCAGAAGTAGGCTTCCCAGAAGATATACATAGTTTGACGGCAGGAGAGGCAGCAGAGAAGGTAAGAAGGCAGCTTTAATGCTTTACTCCTTAGGAGAGCAGAATATTTTTTGACAAACTTATTTTCCATTATCCTGGATTTTTTTGACTGATAGTGTAGGCAGTTTCTGAAATCAAGCATTCAGCTGAATGCAAAGCTCAAAGAATCTTTGAAACTAACATTCTTCTGCTCTGTAACAAGATGGTCTTCTGTCTACTACAAAGTTTCCACACTTACTCAAAGTAAGTTTCTGATACTCAGACCTCTTTTTCTACTGTTTCTAGTGACAAGTGGGAGCATTGTATTTGTGATCTGCATACAAAGGCAGATAACTGAATCCTTTTTAGGACTACCTCTAATCCCCTTTCCCTTCAGTAAACAGCAGTTTCAAGACTTATTACATAAAAAGATACAGCATTGATGTGTAATTCTGTACTCTACAGTCTCTGTAAGTATGACACACAGTATTTACGCAGGGAAAGTACATTTTAGAGCCTAAAAGTTTTGATGGTATCTCTCTAACTGACGAGATGAACTTTCCTGATGAGATTAATAAAATGAGTACAGTCATTTTAGGCGATCTTTGGAAGACCTAAAAATCTAAGTTTGGCTGAATAAAGAAGAGATTTATTTTTCACTCTTTAAACAACTACTGATAAAGCCATAAATGTAAAACACAGGTGTAACTTCTAAAAAAAAAAAAAACCCAAACAAAAAACAACTCACAGAATTTTATTTTTATGTATGTCATATGACAGCCTATTTAATTTTTTTTCTTCAAGTAATTGTTCTACTTTCCTTTTTTATGTATATGGTTGTTCTGTCTCTTTTTGAGCTAATGCTGAATTTTAGTTACTGTAATAGAGAATACAAAGCCAATTTTAACTTCAGAAGATTTCATAACTACTACAAAGCATTCATACATGTACATACATGATAAAAAAAATCATAATTTTGCTTAGATCTTGTAAAGACAAAACAAACATACCTGTATTAAAAAAAAAAAAGTTAACAAAAAGGGGTTTTAACTAAATTGCAATCATTAAAAATGCTAGGAAGTAATACAATTTCTCAATTTTTTGTTTCTGCTTTGCAAATCTGCTTGCATGCTTGCCATGTTTCAAGTCAAAACTGTGAATCCAGGACTCACGGACTGTTTCCTAAACAAATTGGGAAGAATTGTCATCAGGAAACATCTGCTCCTCTATTGCTCTCATGTAAAATCATTCTCATGCTATCATAATGGATTATTGAGCAGATGTTTAAAAGCAATGTATGTATTAGAAAAAAGATAAGCAGCAACTACCTAATTAATTATATTAGTTCCATCATAAATTAATTACCACTAAACTTAATTGATATAAAATTGTTCTCAACCTTTAAGTATCCCCTAAACAAATTAAGTTGATTTGTTCCTCTTAAAATGTTACATTATTTAAATCAATAGATAAGAAATGTCATTCTGAAGGCAAAATAACGTATTTGTACTATTTTTATTCTTCCTGACGAAGAAGGCAAATTAAAAACCTCTGGTAACAAGTTAATCTGACAGCAGGAGAGAGTTAACAGTGTGTTTTGACATTCTTTAGTGGTAACTGTGCTCCACGGACTGAAGAGCAGCAGGAAGGTATGGGTTAAGGCAGATCACCTTTGGAGGGAGGGCTCCAAAGGAAAGGGAAGGGCCAGCGAAGTGACTGACAGGGTAAACTGGGTAAGCAACAGAATCACCTGATAAAAAAGGGATTTTTCTCTGCTGACACTAAACAGTTCCCTCTCTCCACCTTACCCGCAGAGGCTGGCCGTCTGAGCCAGCCTCCCTCGCTCAGCCCAAATTCCCTTCAACATGCAGAATCAGGCCCTAATGCCCTTGTTCGGGGAAAAGCTGAGAAAAGTGGTTTAAAGAACAGCGGGCACATTTCTCCCGGATCTCAAGTCACTGTTGCCTTTCTCCCAATTCCCATGTTCCTCATCTCTTCTCTTGCTGTCTCGACCTCTATTTCCTCCTGCCGCAGGCCAGCCTCTCGGGAAATTCTCCTGCAGCAGCACAGCAGGACTGGGCTGCAAGCAGGAAAGGGAGGAAGAGGTGACGCAGGCACAGCTACTGGTACTGCTAGTTTCATTGCGAGGGGGGGAGGAAAAAGGAGATCCAATCCAGATTAGTAAGCAAATCTGATTTCATTGCTTGAAATATATTTACACTTTATTTCATTTTGGCTTCTGAAGTTGAAAACAAACGTATCACTGTTTCTCCAGCACTGCATTTCTCTTTTTTCAGAAAGAACTCCCGTGTGAAACAGAAGAGCTTTCAGGGAGCAGCTCTCCTCCCCGTTCAACACCTTCCCTTTGGCAAACACGGAGATCTGAACATGAAAACTGAATGGTAGGACAGTGTTCATCAGATAGAATTAAAACAGAGA